TGACGACGTCGTCATCAAAACAGATGATCTGCCCTAAAGCGATGAATCGTTTGGACGAATGTGTGGGCGTTGTAGATGCTGTGGTTCGATTCATCTGGAAGTTGGTTTAGGTGCCTGTTCAACCACCTGGTAGGACTGGATTTGGGTGAGGCAATGAGTAGCAGTCAGTATTGGATCGTAAGCTTGATAGTTAGGATCTCATTGTAATCGAGTGACGCATAATCTGGGTCCACGTAGTGGCCTTGGCCTGATTTTAAAGCCCAGGCGACACATCGCATCGCCCAAAAGCATTCCATCTACGAACTGACACAGTGATTGTTTCAGCCTCTATAATTCCTAACTGCGGTTCAAACAATAAAAGCAGTACTTTAAGGCGACTTCTCCGGAAACTTGCGTAGGCAAATCTCCTGTCAAACTAACTCATCCAATATTCTTACTCTGTAGTCTTTACTTCTTGCTCTCAGGATCTGCCAAGTAAATACAGTAGGTGTGCTTACTCAGGAAATATCAACCGAAATTCTGGAATGCGTTTTCCTTTCGAAAAGATTGTTTTAGTAGGGTTGTAAAACTAATCATCATGCAACGTAAATCTATAATTATATACTTATCTCAGGATGCTGGCTTTCGCATGAACCTCCTTCCGAATGCATACCAAAACCACACTCTGTTTAAAATGACTATTCACGAAGCATGATTTTTCGTCATTGATTTTCGATGCTTTTAAATATTCAATTATATTCCATAGAAAACATGCAAAAAATATTCCTTCTCTTACTCATTGGGTAGATAAGCACGTCTTCTTTCAATTTTACACTCAAAGACACGTAGAGTTTTCTTTCTCAAAAACCTTTCCAATTCCTGAATAATTTTGAACCCGACCTGCCGTTACACTTGCATTCAGGGTTTCTGAGCTACAAGCCATATATTCTCCGTGTACGGAATACCATACATTACTCTACAGTATTAAGAGGAGACCACATGCGGTTAATAAAATTTAATAATGGATTTGAGCCATATTGTTAACTTTACAAGCCACATTGATAAATGCAGAGACATGAAAGTTCATGAACGGCCCTATCACGGTACTAAAATATCTCATAATTAGAAACTTTTTTGAAACCGAATTATACCCTTCCTTTGATAATAAAATTGGAAGAGGACGGAATTTTTTACCGAATGAACGAAATAATGAAAATTTTAATGAGTGTTTTCCATAAAATATAATTTATTTTTAAGGTCGTCGAAAATCAATGGAAAAAAATGCATGCTACTTAACTAGTTCCTTTTTGCAGTGTGGTTTTTGCATGTAGCTGGGAAGGAATTCGTTCAAAAGCCGGCATTCTGAGGTAACTGAATTATTATAGAATTTAGCTGCACGATGATCTGTTTTCCAACCGCACTTAATCAGTATTTCCGAAACAAAAACGCATTTCGCAATTTCGGTTAAGATTTCATGAATTAGCCCACCTACTGTACGCATTGGACTCGCCCGAATTCTCCATCACCCCTGGTTCTTAACCAAGACGGTCTTTGCTTTTGGTTGGACACATTAAAGCCATATCGATGGGTTTACTGGGTTTTATTCAGTTAAATTTGTTTATTTGAATGGAATGCATGTGCTTCACGTTCGAACATTGACGGCAACGCAAGGCGGGGGAGAAGATGACGGGTTAACTGAATTGTAAACGAAGCAGAGGGTCTAAATCAATGAAATGTTATACAGCCGAAATTTGTTTTGTTTGACAATTTCATTCATGTGAGTGGAAATTTAAAGCTGCATGGCGCAGGTGTACGTTGACCACGTTGATTGCTGATTTAGGAAGCCTTATCCTTCAGAAAATGTCTCAGTTTGGCCCTTCATCCAAAAACAAAGTGGACTATGGAGATCTCTTGCTTTTCAAAATGCTCACATATCCATTAAAAAGGCCGTATAATGCGGCATTCATGTTGTGCTGTTGTGCGATTAATGAGAGATGTAGTTTCGTTAGTTCGACCGTAGCAGCAAGGGGCGACAAGCACGGTGACTTGAGCGTGAACTAGTTTAAAGTACCAGCAGACTTGCGCAGCATCTACCACACTTTCCCTTCCCCATCCCCCAAACTGGACAGAGTGGCAATACAGAGTGCGGAAGACCAGAGGCGAGGGATGGCGCAGGTGGCTGGCAGGGCGGGACCCGCACCTAGGCGTGCCACCATACCCCGAACCGAAGGTGGCCAACAAGTCAAATTGGCGCCCTGGATGTCCGTTGACACGTGGGGGGCGGTTGTGCGATTGCATTGCGGGGTGGGCGCAGCTGAGACTTGTGTGCTCCGCGTTTGGCTTTGGCGGAGGCAGTGCGCAGAGCCTGTCTTCACTGAGTTCCGCCTGGTCGATCAGTCTCGGGCGAGGTCTCCCCAGTTGGCCGGATTGATTTGCAGACGCTTTAGGGAGGACTTTAGAGTATTCTTGTATCGACAGATTTGGCCTCTTTGGCGGCGAGAACCCGCCGTGACGATGTCTCCGTAGAAGAGTCGTTTGGGTGGTCGCTCGTCGTCCATGCGCGCCAGGTGGCCGCTCCAGCGCAGCTGCATTTGTCTCAGCATGGGGTAGATGCTGAGGATTCT